TTTTCCTTTCGGCACATTTGAGTTCCTTGTAGATCCTGGATGTTAGGCCTTTGCCAGATATACAGTTGGCAAATATTGTTTCCAATTCTGTGGGCTGTCTCCATGCTCTCTTGATGATTTCTTTTGCTATGCACAAGCTTTTCAGTTAGATGCAGTCCCATTTGTGTATCTTATCTCTTATGGCATGGGCACTTGGGGTTTTAATCAGGAATTGGTTGCCAGTTCCAATTTCTATAAAGGTGTGTCCTTCATTTTCTAAGGTTCTTATAGATTGAGGTTTTATGTTTAGGTCTTTGGTACATTTAGAGTTGATTTTTGCATATGGTGATAAGTAGGTGTCCTGTTTCAATCTTCTGCATGTGATTAGCCAGTTTTCCCAGCACCGTTTACTGAATAGGTTCTCCTCTCCCCAGTGATTGTTGTTGGAGGCTTTGTCAAAGATGAGTTGGTTAGGAAATTGAGATTTTGTTTCTGGAATCTCTATCGTATTACATTGGTCCATATGCCTGTTCTTGTACCAATACCAGACTGTTTTGATTATTGTAACCTTATAATAAAGTCTAGAAGTGTGATACCTCCTGCTTTATTTCTTTTGCTAAGGACTGTTTTGGCTATTCATGGTCATTTATGTTTCCATGTGAATTTCTGTATTGTCATTTCCAGGTCTGAGAAGAATGATGTTGGTAATTTAATAGAATTAAATCTGTAGATTGCCTTGGGTAGGGTGGACATCTTAACAATGTTGATTCTTCCTATTCATGAGCATGGAATATTTTTCCATTTGTTTGTGTCTTCTTGGATTTCTTTGAGCAGTGTTTTGTAATTTCCATTGTAAAGATCTTTCATTTCTCTGGTTAGGAAGATGCCAAGATATTTTTTTTTTGGTGTGGCTATTTTAGATGGAATTATGCTTTTTATTTGGTTCTCTGCTTGTTATTGGTGTATAAGAATGCAACTGTCTTTTGCATGTTTATTTTGTACCCTGAGACTTTGCCAAAGTCCTTTATCAGTGAAAGCAGGTTATTGACAGATTCTGTTGGAATTTTGGTGTATAGGATCATATCTGCAGCAAAGAGGGATAATTTAACTTCCTCTATTCCTATTTGGATATCCCTGATTTCCTTCTCTTGTCTAATTGCTCTAGCTAGGACTTCCAACACAATGTTGAACAGGAGGGGTGAGAGTGGTCAGCCTTGTCTTGTTCTGGTTTTCAGGGAGTTTCCATCCATTTAGCAGTATGCTGGTTGTGGGTTTATTGTAGATTGTGCCCACCAATCTTCTTGATAACAGAAACTGCAGTCTTTGTACATTCCTCAGTACAGTAAGTCCCCTACATATGGATCTTCGAGTTACAAACTTTAATAATACACACTTGCATTTTTAGTATATTATTTCTCCCCACCAATTATCAGTATAGCCCATTAAATACATACAGTACTATAAAACCAATTGTGTTAGTTGACTACCTAGACTGACTGTTGGAATTAAAACAAATAGATTTACAAATGCACTCTTGGAACATAACACATTCATATGTTGGTGCCTGCCTGTACCTGCTGCTAGTGCCAATTTTATTTTTAAACATTTATTATCTTCTGTTGATACAACATTAGTATTTATACAAGGGTATAGATTTATCCTTTTAAAATGTTTCTTGTGTCTTTTGAGAAATGTGCTGTTCCAGTGGTCTCTCCTTCCCCAAAACATGACATTAGTGTAATATGGTCAAAAGATAAGTCCATTGTAGGTTTCTTAATCTTAGGACTTCTGATACTTTTTACCAGGAGGACATACCACCGAGATCCTGAGGCTGCTTGGGAGCCTGTCTGCTGCCTACTCTCCTAGACATTATGTCATGGCTGACACTGATGAAATGAGTGCCCACAAAATAAGTTCCTTCGAACAAGACCGAGCTGATAGAGACCCTAGTCACATGGTAAGTAGCAATTTCTATGTCTAAGAGAATGACAAGTGGTACCTTGAGTCTAATTGTCTGTGGAAATAATCTCGGGGAACTTCAGTACCCTACCTGGATAGGCAGGCAGAGGTTTATTGGTAATGAAATATATTTCCTTTAATAGCAAAAGATTAGAACGTCCATAAAGTAAATCTTCAAATTAAGAAATCATCAAGCGTGGTCAGGCTTATACCTGTAATCCCAGCACTTTGGGAAATGGAGGGGAGAGGGTTGCCTGAGATCAGGGGTTCAAGACCAGTCTGGGCAACTTGACGAGACCTCGTCTCTACAATAAATCAAAAACTTTGCTACGTGTGGTGGCATGCGCCTAGGGTTCCAGCTACTTGGGAGGCTGAGGTGGAAGGATTGCCTGTGCCCAGCAGGTCGAGGCTGCGGTGGCTGTGAACATGCCACTGCACTCCAACCTGGGCGCAGAGTGAGACTCTGACTCAAAACAAAAAGAAATGGTTACTTAATTTTTAATATATTTTTTAAATAGGGAAAACAGGCCAGGCATGATGGCTCATGCTTGTAATCCCAGCATTTTGGGAGTCTGTGGCAGGAGGATCACTTGAACCCAGGAGTTTGAGACCGGCTTGGGCAGCATAGTGAGACCTCATCTCTACAAAATATTAAAAAATTAGCTAGATATGGTGGTATGTGCCTTATAGCTCCAGCTACTTGGGAAGCTGAGGTGAGAGGATCACTTGAGGCCAGGAGATTGAGTCTGCAGTAAACCATGATCTTGCCACTGCACTGCACTCTGGGGAACAAAGTGAAACTATTACTCAAAAAAAAAGAAATTTTATATATATATCTTGACAATGGGGGATTCCCCCCAAAAAACTGGAAAATTTTTTTTTTAAGTGTGCATTTACTCTTACATGTTTGAACTTTGGACACCTTCAAAGTATTCTGCATTTGATGCAGTACACCTATTGAAATGCTTTTTCCACTGCTCAAAACAGTTTTTGAACTCATCAGTTTTGATACCTTTTGTTGCTTCTGTCTTTTTTTTTGTTTGTTTTGCCTCTTTCACATTGGCAAAACGTTTCCTTTTGAGGTCTTTTTTATTTGGGAAAACAAAAAGAAAAAGTCATTCGGGGCAAGATAGGGTGAATAGGGAGGTGGGGCAAGGGGCTCATGGCTTTTTTGGTCAAAAACCGCTGAACACTCGGCAAAGTGTGGGCAGGTGCCCTTTTAAATCACCCATCATGAAATGGGCAAATGCATTGAAAGAATCGCCAAAAAAAAATTCACCAAAGCTGAACACAGTCTCTCACAATAACACTAGATGGTACACTGATGCCAATACTTTCCTAGAACACTTAACTAGCAGGGCAAGCCTGTACTACAAGAGGACTACCCACCAAAAAATAATTCCAGATTTTTTTGGGGTTCCCCTGCGTGTGAGTGTGTGTGGTTTTTTAATGCGTTCCAGTTGTGGAAATTGTTGGGGTTTTTTGAAAAATTGTTTTATTTATAATTTCACACAATTCATTTGCTTATTGGCTCTTCATTAAAGCTGTCTATCAATGTATTGTGTTTATTGATGATTTTACTTATCTTTGACTGCTTCTTATTCTCCAAATCATATTTGTATCTGCCTTTGAAATTAGTTCTCTGTTTCTGGTAGCTATCTTCATCTTAGCATTTTACATGTACTTACACACAAATTCTCCGAAGCCTGTGCTTCTCCCCCATAGCCACTCTGCCTCTTTTGTGTATTCTTTTCTAATTCAATAAATTTAGTGAGAAAATAATGCTTTGGGTATGTTCATCTAAGGTATCAGAGACTTAAAATGTCATTTAATTGATTATCTTTGGGTGTATTTGAGAAGTGGTGAAGAATTTGGAGAAGATGACAGTGATTTTTCACACAAGAAGAATGTGAAGAGTATAATTTATCCGTGGTATAGAACACCTGAAAATATATAAAGGACAAAGTAATTACAGCATTCTTATTTGTTTTTGGCATAAGGAACAGTTATCTTTGGATTTACCCAATTATTAGTATATGTCATCATCTTTCTGAAGTTGCATCCAACTTGGAGACTCTAGTTTTAATGTAACATACATACTGAATATTTTCCTTTAGGTTTATCACCATATGTATTTTTTATTTACTTAACTAACTATGGTTTAAGGAAACATTTGGAAAATTTATATATTGTGCATCTCAACACTTTAGAACTCAGTAAGTTGAGTTTAATTCATATTGATAAGAAAGCCAGCCAAAGATTTTGAATTTTTTAAGTGCCATTATTTTTTTTATCAAAGTGGGACCACAGTATAAGGCTGAGATTCTCTATTTGACTTTCTTCCTCCGTGAATTTTCTGCTGGGACAGTGCAACCACTGTTAGAGAAAACATTCTACTCCCTTCCTGAAGGGTCTCTACTCATGAATCTGAAGCTGGGACAAGCTCTGCAGAGGAGAGCTGTTGAGGGTGGCAACATGTACATTTCTACTGACCACCCGTGTGCCACCCTGTGTGTGTGGAGGTGGTATACTGACAGTAGTTGGTGTGGGGACAGAAAGAGAGACAGACACTTTCCCATCAAGCCTTGCTAAAGGGAAGGGTGTACCTATTGGTCTCTTTCTGCACTACAGTTCAGCCATTTTTTGTATCTTCCATAGAACTCACCAGAGTAGGAAGAGGAGGGAAGCTAACTGAAGAAATCAATCGTGGTCAGTTCATTTACAGTGGCTGTTGGAGTGTGCCACTACACTCCAGCCTGGTTGACAGAGTGAGACTCCAACTCGAAAAAAAGAAAGAAAACTTTGTTAGTGAATCAGAAGTCAGGCTAAAGAAATCCTCCTGGCAAAAAGGCAGTTATGAGAGAAAAGAATCTTGAAGTGTAAGGAAAGAAAATGACAGGAGAAAAAAGAATCTGGAATAGACCTTTATTACCCTTCTCCTATCTCAAGTAACTTGATTTAACTTAATTGCATTTCATCATCATATCAATAGTTACGTTTTACTAACTCACCACTGTTTCTTGTATACCATGTCTTCTGAATTCATTTTATTTTATTTTTTTAGTTGGAGTCTCACTCTGTCACCCAGGCTGGAGTGCAGTGGCATGCTCACGACAGTCTTGACCTGTTGAGCTCAGGTGATCCTTCCGCCTCAATCTTCCAAGTACCTGGAACTACGGGCATGTTGCACCACACCCGGCTAATTTTTTTTTTAATTGTAGAGATGAGGTCTCACCGAGTTGTCCAGGCTGGTTTTGAACCCACAGACTCAGGCAATCCTCTCACCTTGGCCTCCCAAAGTGCTGGAATTATAGATGTGAGCCATTGCTCCCAGCTGAATTAATTTTATTTTCTATTTGGCTCAAGTATACCCTGAGTAATTTTTTCTAGAAATGTTGCATGGGCAGTATATTTCCATCTCTGAAAATGTCTTTATTGTGACATTATACTCCCACAGTCATTTGGCTTGGTGTGCACTTCTAATTGTAATGCCATACTTTTTCCTTTGGAACCCTGTAAATAGTACTCCATTCTCTTCTAGCAATTAGATGTCCAGAAAAAGTGTTTGATGCTAGTTTGTTTTGTTTGTTTCTCTTTCCTTAAAATTCTAAAATTTAACAAAGCCATGTGTACATGTCTGTTTTCTTATTAATTCTTTCTGGAATTCAGTGAAGTCTTATAATCTTTCATCAGTTTAGGACAGTTTTTATTTTTTTTTTCTATTTATCTCTTCTGTATACCAATTCTTTGTCATATTATATTGATGATATATAAACACACACACAGTCATCCTTCATTTTCCATGGGGGATTGATTCCAGGACAATCCACAGATACAAAAATTTACATATATAAAGTGGTGTAGTAGAGTTTGCACATGGTACGTCTCATACTTTAAATCATATCTAGCTTACTTAATAGTGCCAAATACAGTGCAAATGCTATATAAATAGCTGTTATACTGTATTGTCTAGGAACTAATGACAAGGGGGAAAGCCTATACATAATCATTACAGACATAACCATCTTTTTTTTTTTGCAAATATTTTCAGTTCACAGTTGATTGAATCCGTGGAATCAGAGGACCAACTGTGTATATGTTTATATATACATAGCTGTACATATTTTCTTCCTGTTTATTCTTTGTTTTATGATAAACACGTTTTAGATTTTAATGTTTCTATAAGTTTTAACATCTTGCTTTTTGCACTTGTCTTTAATCTATCCGGAATTGATTTTTTCTCTGTAATGTTTGAAAGGGATACAATTTCCATATGGTAAAACAGCTGTTCCAGCCCAGCAAATGAACAATCCTTTTCCCACTGATCTGCAGTGCCACCGTTATACAAGTTAATGTGTATACATAGATCTGTATATTAGCTTTCTACTCTGTTTACCAATTCATTTGTCTATTCATGAGCCAATATCAAACTCCCTTAGACTTATTCTTCAGAAGTGTTTCAACTGTTCTTTGTTTTTTACCTAGGTTTTTGAATTAACTTTTCACAAGCTCACAAATAACCTGGTTGGTATTTTTATTTGAATTAAATTAAGTGTATCAGTTTGGGTAGAACTTACATCTATATAATGTCTTCCTATCTTGAAACTTAATCTCTCTCTCCACTATTTAGATCTTCTCTAATGCTTTTCAATAGGATCTTCTCATTGTCTTTGTAGGAGTCTTGCATATCTTTTGTTGTATTTATTTCTAGGTACCTTGTATTATTTTATTACTATTGTAAGTGATATGTCCTTTTTATTTTTATTTTATTTTGTTTTATTTTAAAGATGTGGGGTACAATTCAGGGTTACGTATTCAAATGTTCATTATACAGCTCTCCTTGTTGATGTTCCCCAGACAGATTCCTACTACTGCCAATCCTGCCTCTCCACCCTTTCCTGGCACTTTCCTGCTACTGCCAATCCTTTTCTTATAGTATTACGATAATTGCTCAAGGTCCAGTTATGAGTAAGAACATGTAATACTCAGTTACTTTGT